GGATGTGGAGGGTAGCCATGGGAAATACAACGTTACAGGGAAGGGTGAGATGCTCTTCGGCGTTTCGGTGTGGATTCAATGGGCCAAGTGGCCTGCTTCCACACTGTTGGAATTCTATGATGACTATCACATCTTCCCTCAACCTTCTCTGTTCCAGAGAAAACAACCCGACATTAACCTGCTGAAATGCTCTATCCCTGATGAATCTCCTTCACACCCCCTCAATTACACCTATTCTGACCCTCCTACTCCTCCCCCCCCAACTTTGCGCTTTCTTTTGTTCTTTCGTTCTTTCTTTCTCTCCCTCCCCTCCCCACATTGAGTTCCTGTTCTGACACCCTGGGCTCCATGTTCTCCGGAAGGTTGTAGCTGGTGTGTGGAGGGTTATGACAGCCAGGTTTCCTGACATCACCAGAACCTCGAAGACAATCATTCCAGTTGCCCCGGAATGACCACATAACCTATCCTGGGTTGCCATCCCCAAAAGATGGGAGAAGCAGGAGAGCGGAGCTGTGCATCCAGGCCCAGTATTGTCAGTGCTGACCATGGTTACATTTCTAATTGGCTGATGAAGCGTTGTGATGTGGAGTGGTGATTTCTCAAGTCCCTACAGAATGGAAAAAGGCCATCCAGCCCAACGGGTTCACACTGACCCTCCTCAGAGCTTCCTACCCAGACCCAGCCCCCTATGCTAACCCTGCATTTCCCATTCCCAATCCACCCAACCTGCACATTCTTTAGACTGTGGGAGGAAACTGGAGCACCCAGAGGGAACCCACACAGACACGGGGAGAATGTGCAAACTCCACACAGACAGTCGCCCGAGGCGGGGAGTCAAACCTGGGTCCCTGGCTAACAACTGAGTCACCATGTTGTCCACTGAGATACTGGAATATTTTATTGGGATAGGGTTTCATGGTGCTATATAAGATGCATGTAGTCATTCATTATGTCTGACCTGTACCAGTGGATGTTGATGATTTATTTTGAGAGCTTATGGTCGGCTATGTCCTGTCCTCAATAAATAACCATTATCATGAGGTCACTCGACAGCTCTCTGGTCTTGGAACTCAGTTTCTTATTGTACCCTCCACCTGCTGCCTCTTCTTTTGCTCATGTCAGGTACCGCACCGGCTGAGGCCAGTAAACACACGAGGGACTGAACCTTCTATTTTATGGTTAGTCTGGATTAATCTACACAGAGTGCACTCTGAGCTGATCTGGTAGACAAGAGCAATCAGCAGACTTTGTTCCTAGCCCCTCTCTCTGCCCCCCCAACTTCCTCTGTCTCTCCCTTTCTCTCTCTCTCTCTCTTCCCAACCCCCTCAATCTCGTTACTTGCTCCTGTGTTCTAAGATGTGACTGATTCCCCTGAGGAGCAGTATAACTGTCCTCATCAACTACAACGAACAGCAAGAGCATTCAACAGCCACTTGAACATAGAATATAGAACAGTACAGCACAGTACAGGCCCTTCGGCCCACGATGTTGTGCCGAACTTTTACCCTAAACCTAAGGTCTATCTAACCTCCAACACTACCTTATACTATCATTCATATGCCTATCTAATAGCTGCTTAAATGCCCCTAATGAGGCCAACTCCACTACCCTCTCCGGCAATGCATTCTACGCCCCTACCACTCTCTGAGTAAAGAACCTACCTCTGACATCTCCCCGATATCTACCTCCTTTCACTTTAAAACTATGTCCCCTCGTAAAAGCTACCTCCACCCTAGGAAAAAGTCTATGTAATGAACAGACCGTTCTTCTGTGAGAGTACATGCTGTCTTGGTCTGGTACTCCATCAGTAGAACCCACAAGGTCCATTTTAATGTGGGGTCTACAAATCTCCAGTTTATCACAGCAGCTGTTGTTTTGATCACTGTGAATGGTGCTGCCTGTTCAGAGTGAAAGCAGATCTTGCAGAGTTTCCACAACCTGTGTGTGTGTCAGCCAATGCGTTATGTTTAAACACCAGCTCCCCAAAGCAACCGAACAAATTGATCTGGAGGAACACAGCAGGCCAGGCAGCATCAGAGGAGCAGGAAAGTGAAGGGTCCCGACCCGAAACCTACTGCCTGGCCTGCTGTGCTCCTCCAGCTCCACACTGTGTGTTATCTCTGACTCCAGCATCGGCAGTTCTTACTACCTCTGAACAAGTTGATCGGTTTGTTTTGGTTGTTGGATGAGGGGAATGGCTCGGTCAGGGCACCATAAAGATAGCTGCCCTGCTTCACTTTGAAAGAGTGTCCTAGGGTCTTTGGTGACAGTTTTGTTCACGTTGCTGTAACTTCAACAGGAGCAGTGCGCTGGGATCAAACCGGACCAATCAAGGAAATGTTCCCAAACAGCAGATGCTCAGTCGAGCCACCGGGATGAGGAAACTTTTTGTTTCTCTCTGAGGGCTGAGTGTCTTTGGAATTCCCATCCTCAAAAGGCAATGGCTGCTGAATCTTTGAATATTTTTAAGGCAGAGATAGGTAGATTCCTGAAAACCAATGGGGATGAAAGATAATCGGGGATATGCAGGAATGTAGAGTTCTGGTTAAAATCAGATCAGCGGCGATCTCATTCAATGGCACAGCAGGCTCAAAGGGCCAATAGGCCTACTGTTGTTCCTGTGTCTGTAGGACAGGCTAAATTGTTTTATTTTTGTTGTTAACTCGGACAAAATTGTCACTTCCACCCAGTTTCATCAATAAATAAAGAAACATTTTTATTATGAACAAACTCAGTCTTTAACATGTGGTAAAACAGGTTATTAACTACTCCTGTACCCTTTAATCCCAAACACATTGATACATAGACTGGACAAGATGGGACATACAGCTCTGAAGAGTTGTTATGAGTAGGGAAAATAGACTGGTAAAGAAATCTTGTAGCAAGAGTACAAACCACAAGGGTAAAATGTAGTGACTTTCTCACAGTCCTTTCAGTGTCTGTCAGTGAGATCACATTGCCTTAGGACACAGGATAAGGCAAATCCTCATCACGGGTGGTCAGTCAGTTAGACCTGGGTCTTGTGTTGAGTTACTGTTGTGTTTTTTACTCACCACGAGAAAGAGAGGGATTGGTAGAACAAGAGCACTGCTTCCTTGCAAAATTCTCCTCAACTGTAAGCATTTTTCTTTTCCAGGAGAGAGAGGCGGAGAGACTCTTTTCAAACTGTAGCAAAACAGAGTTTAGAAAAACCTACCAAAGCTGTTTTGGGGCAATCTGCAATCCAATGCTTCTTCCAGCAGTTTGACTAGAGCAAAAGTTAACAAATCCATCGTGTCTCTCCCAAAACAGCTCTGCTTTTCCACAGGTCACTTGATCTTTGGTAAACATTACGTAAAGCACAATACTGTTCCAGGTTTGACCTTTAAACTCCAAAAGGTCAGATGATAAACTCTCTGCTACATGGACAATGTCTAAAACATCAATTCTTCCAGTTTTCATTGGGGGACAAAGTAAATATGGTTTTTACAGCGTTCACCCAAGACCGCAGTTTAATACCTCCATCTGAAATCCAGCGCCCCTGACAGTGCAGTCCTCCCACGGTACTTCAATGAGATTATCTGTTTTAATTGGATCTAGAGTGGGCCATGAACCGTCAACCTCCCACCCTAGATCAGAATGCTGCTGAGTTCTTGAGAAGACGCGGTCACGTGACTGTTGATGTGCGTGCTCTGGCTTTTTGAGCTGGGTGCTGGCTGAGCAACCATGACTGCACTCACAAAAAGTTTGGAGAATTAAAACCAGTCACTTTTTTTGAGCCTCTCTCTCAAATGGTGCAATTATGTCCAAGACAGGTCTATCATTCAAATCTTTGCTGTTCGTGTCCTGTGTGTTAGTGAGCCATTTTAATCTGATATTCTGTTATTTCCTTGAGGAGAAAATCTATTCCAAAAAAAATCATTGACTCAAAAAAGTATTTAAACAGTTTGCTTCAACCGAGCAGTTTATTTATTCAAAGTATTTCGTAGCAACGCACCCACAGATTTCAACAATCCACAGTCAGTGAAGTAGTGCAAATGGGGAGATTTTGAAAGATTCATTGCAAATCTGGATAAAAATCCAGTGAATGTTCCCAGGAAACCTGTGCAGGTGGGCATTCTGAAACCGATTGGAGTAAATGTTCATGGAAAATGCTGCTATCTCAGCGAAAGTAAACAGGCGAATGTTTAACCACGAAGGACCCATTGCACTGACCTGGAATCCCCCAACGCCAACCACAGCCCTTACTCCGTAAGCAATGCGCAAGATTAAATGTGATTTTTTTCTTGCATGAACTGGTAATTAATCAATTGAGTGATCTAATTGTTGCAAACTTACTCGCCTTTCATAAACAAGGGAAAGTACCCGAAGAAATACCGAGAGGTTTTCCACTTACTCAGTGCTGGCAGAGAGGAACATGTGAGATTACAGCGTAGAAAATACAGCTGGTCTGACCCTTTACCGGAAAATGTAGGTCATAAGTAAATTTGTACGCCTACTGAACAATAACATAGTCATCTGGAGTCGACAGAATACATCTTCAAAAGTGCAGGATTTCAGGCCACTTGGAGTGTTTGTCAAAAAGAAACAGAAATTTACATGCATTTATATAGCGCCTTCCCCAACCTCAGGCCATCCAGTGCAGTTTTATAGTCAGTGAAGTACTTTTATAAAATGTAGTCTCTGTTGTGTTGTTGGAAACTGTGTGGCATCCAGCACAGCAAGCTGCCACAAGCAGCAAAGATATGAACGATCCTCGCTGGTCTTCTTCAAAGTGGGGCGGAGAGCTGATTCCTCCCCCCATCCACCGGGGCTGGGATCTGTCTTTTACGTCTTACCCGAAAGTTACCACTTGCTGCATTGCCTGGAGGTTGTGCTGAAGTCTGTTTGGAGTGGGACTTGAACCTGTAACTTTGTAGCTCAGAGGCAAGTGCACTTTCCACTGAGCCACAGTGTGGAATGCTGCAGCGTGGTAGATCCCCCCCCTCCCCCCCCCGCCCCCCCAACCACCTTTCCTCCGAGCGATCTATATTTCTCCCCCCACCCCTCGGTTAGAGCCGTGTTGCTGCTCAGACACGTTGCTGGATTGTTGGCCGGTTTCAGGGAGTTTGTCTTAAAGCAGGGAGCACCGGCAGCTGAAACATCCCATCCTCGAGGCTTTCAAGGTGGCCCTGGTGGCGGTTTCAAACACCTCCCAGACGCCTTCCTTGGTCTTGGCTGAGCATTCCAGGTAATGGTAGGCCCCGATCCTCTCAGCCACGGCCTGGCCCTCTTCCCACCGGATAGGCTCCTTCTTGCTCCGGGCCAGCTCCTTCCACACTCGCTGGTCACTCCTCAGGTCCTTCTTGTTACCCGCCAGTACCACTGGCACACCGGGGCAGAAGTGCCTGACCTCGGGCATCCACTTGTCCGGAATGTTCCTCAGCGAGTCGGGGCTGTCCACGGAGAAGCAGATGAGGATGACGTCGGTGTCAGGGTAGGACAGGGGCCGTAGGCGGTCATAGTCCTCCTGACCAGCCGTGTCCCACAGCGCCAGCTCCACCAACCTCTCATCAACCATGATATCCGCCACGTAGGTGTCGAAGATGGTAGGGACATAACCTTCGGGGAACTCGTCTTTGCTCAGGACAAACAACAGGCTGGTCTTACCACAGCCACCATCGCCAACCACCACCAGCTTCCTCCTTAACGTGGTCATGACCTTTCACCAGGCTCACTGTCCAAACCTTGTGAAGGAGGGAAGACGGTGTTCACAGGTTGAATTGCCTCTCGGGTGGAAATCAGAGCGAAGATGCCCCCCGACACTGAGATCAGCTGGGGATCACTGACTCTCTGCCGGTGTTGCTGTGCTCAGTCTGTGAAAGGCAAGGTAGAATGATCATGGTTTTATGGGCGGGTTAGAATCCTGGCCCTGCCAATCAGGTTCAACTGGTCTTGGGAGAGAGCCAACACTCGAGGTTTTAATAACCTGTTGGACTATAACCTGGCGTCGTGTGATTTCTGACTTTAATAACAAAAGGCGAAGTGATTGGCCAGTGAACAGTAAAAGGAATAATCAGCTGAACACAGCCCAGGCTGGAAGCTAAGAGAGAGAGCACATACACGCTCTCTCTTCCCGAGATGACTTGCACATTTAATGGTTTAAACCTTTTTAATGTAATTGACGTTCCTGTAAGATATTCTTCTTTGCCACAGTGGGTTACAACACACCGGTTCTGAGTAACTGCTCCTTAACTGTTTCCTGCAATTTGAGCTGTACATACTGTGAAACATTTACTACAGCCAGACATCTTTTTTCACCAAACCAGAATCAGTCAAGTTCCTTTATTCATTGCTTTCTTTCGGACTCTGTGATTACTGTAATTTTAGGGGTGGTCTCGCTATGATTTGCCTCACTGGGTTTATGGCACGGATGTTCCCAGGCTGCCTGTCAGAGGGATAAAGGAAAGTGAACTCCCATCCAGGCCCAAGCCTGGGGGTACGGGACATTGCTGGTTCAGCTCATCGTATGCACACACCCTGACAGACAGACACGCACACGCACACACAGACAGAGAGACACACACACACACCTGCCCAGATGGATATAAGAACACACGCACACACAGACAGAGAAACACACACACCCTCGCGCACCCACACAGACAGACACATGCACCTGCCCAGATAGACATAGGTACACGCAGACGCACACACACACCCAGACAGACACACACCTGCCCAGACAGACACACATGCACACACCCTGACGCGCGCGCGCACACACACAGACGCATACACACGCATGTGCGCCCAGACAGACAGACACACATCCCCTCGCATGCCCAGACAGACAGACAGACAGACACACACACACACACACACACACACACACACACACACACACACACACACACACACACACGCGCGCGCGCGCCCATGCATGTACACACACACACACACGGACACATGCAGGCACACACACATAGGCACATGCACACACTGACAGACACACGCGTGTACACATGCACCCAGGCACACGCACCCAGATGCATACGCCAGACAGATAGACACACACCCAGACACTTGCCCAGACACATACATGTCCCCAGCCTTACACACACCTAGACAGACAGATAGACACAAGCACAGACACACGTGCACCAAGGCCTACCCGCACATGCTCGGAAACACACACACACGTGTGCATGTGTCCAGACGCACACAGATGTGCCCACACATGCATGCCCGGACACCCACTGACACGCACGCGTGTGCCCAGAACTAAAATCAGCAAGGAGGAGAGAGACCTTTATTAAAACAGGTGGGACTAGTTTACTTTGGGATTATGTTTAGAATGGACTGGTTGGACCGAAGGGTCTGTTTCCGTGCTGTATGACTCTCAGTTCCTTGGTCACCCGTCCCAGTGTGGCTTAGTGTCAAATTTCTGTATGATGTTCGATCTTGGCTAAGTGACACATGGATGTTAATGGTGCTAGATGAATGGAAGATGTTGTACTGCTGGTTTGAGCCATAGGGAGAGGCCGAATAGACTGGGGCTACTTTCCCTGGAGGGTTGGAGGTTGAGGGGTGACCTTACAGAGGTTTATAAAATCATGAGGAACATGGATAGGGTAAATAGACAAGGTCTTTTCCCTGGGGTGGAGGAGTCAAAAACGAGAGGGCATAGGTTTAAGGTGAGGGGGGAAAGTTTTTAAATGAACCTGAGGGGCAACTTTTTCACGCAGAGGTTAATGAGTGTATGGAATGAGCTGCCAGAGGAAGTGGTGGAGGCTGGTAATAATGACAACGTTTCAAAGGCATCTTGATGGGTACATGAATAAGAAGGATTTAGATGGATATGGACCAAATGTTGGCAAATGGGACTAGATTTATCTAGGATATCTGGTCGGCATAGATGAGTTGCAAAGGGTCTGTTTCCATGCTGTACATCTCTATAACTCTATAACCCTATGCTGAGTATAACTGGTTCCCTGGTGCTAGATAAACACCAGACAATGATTTGATTTGATTTATTATTGTCACATGTACATAAGTACAGTGAAAAGTTTTGTTTTGCACGTAGTACGGGTAGATCATAACATGCAAGATCATACAGATCATAGAGTGATAGAACAGAGCGAGGAATACAAAGTTACGGCTGCAGAGAAGGTGCACAAAGAGTGAGATCAACATTAGATTTAAAATTTGAGAAGTTCATTCAGCTGTCTAATAACAGTGAGGAAGAAGCTGTTCTTGAATCTCTTGGTATGTGTTTAAGCTTCTGTATCTTCTGCCTGATGGAACAGGTACAGCAGAGTTTGTATTGTTGTACATCAGAATGTATCTGGTTCCCTGGTGCTAAACGAATGCAAGATGTTGTTGTGTGGCGGAGTGTACCTGGTTTCCTGGTGCGAAATGAAAGTAAGCTGTTGTTGTACAGTGGAGTGTACCTGGTTCCCTGGTGCTATAAGAATGTAAGAATTTTTTGTACAATGGAGTGTGCCTGGTTCCCCGGTGCTATAAGAATCCAAGCTGTTGTTGTCTGACAGAGTGTATCCAGTTTCCTAAGTTCACTATCACTGACTGTTTTCAAGCTCCGACAGGAGACAGCAAATCCTTCTGTAAATGTAAGAAAAGAAAAAGATCCATGGAACACCTCATTACAGAACCAGCTTTTGGTTTAACTTGGCAGCAGGGAGGCTGCAAACCCAGACTTCTGCATTTAACTGGCTGCCTGGTTTACAAGAGGGAATTAAAGCTGGTACACAAAACCACCAGAGCCTCACAAGCCAGCTTCACATCGCGGCCTCCATTGTACGCACTTCCTTCTCTATCGATTTTTCCCTTTTCATCGTTCAGTCACACACCTGCGAAACCTCTAATGCCCCCGGCACTTCTTTCATTGTGGAGATTTGGGGGGGTGGTGGCAGTGAGTGGGGGAGGGGAGGGGAGGAGAAGATGGGATATGGGGTCAGTGAGGGAGAAGTTGCTTTCATTGGTGCCAGTGGGAATCACAAACTTCTCCCCCTGCCCAACAGCAGCTGACAAAAAAAACACAATGTGTGAATTAGGAAGGGGGAAAAATACACTGAGCAGGAAATATCTGACATGTACCTGAGCTTTAGTCAGGGCCTCCCTCTTCCACCCTCAACCTATCCTTCCTCTTCCGTTCCCTCTCCTTCCCCTCCTTTCCCACCCTTTCCATCTCATAACCTATTCCCCCCCGTACTCTCCTCTCCTCTCCTCTTCTCCCTTCCTCCCCCTCCTCCCTCCTCCAACCCCCTCCTCCCCTCCTCTCCTCCCTCCCCCTCCCCGTCCTCCCCTTCTACCCCCCTCCTCCCTCCCTGTTCTCCCTCCTCCCTCCCTCCCTCCTGCTCTCTCCCTCCCTCCTTCCTCCCCTCCCTTTCTCCCTCCCTCCTTCATCCCTCCTCCA